TGCAGGAGCGGCTTCCCCTGTTCCCCGGCTGAGGAGCGTGGCGCAAAAGAGCCTCCAAGGCAAACCAGAGGTTTGAAAGCGGTGAAGACGCTGATGTGGAGCTGGGGCTCTGCCACTGCTCAGTCCAAGGGCAAGCCAGGAGGCGTGCAATCAAGTATAGGGGCTTTCTAGCTCTGAATTAAGTTTCAATTCAATTTCTTTTCCTACCGGTTAAGAACAAAAGCTGGAAAAAGTGAGCGCATCCAGCCAGCACTTCAGCCACTGCCACGCTTTGCGGTTTTCCCAAAGGTGCAAAACGCTCATTGTGGGTTAGCCGTGCTGCAGCTTTCGCTTGTTCAAGAAACACTCCACGAGTAAACTCTGCGCAGCTTCTCCTCAGCAAAGGCAGACAGAGGAAACGCAGCCCAAGCTAGCGAGGTCTCTTGGGCAAGCATAAAGGCAAATCTTACACAGGCCAAAAAGAACAGCAAACCCCAAGCAAAAAGAAGAAGAAGAAAAAAAACTAACTACCTTCCAATCTGCAACACCAGCTAATGCTACCCCTTCGCCAAATGACCTCAGAGGCATTTTCCAGTTCCCCAAATCCCAAGAGCTCCTGCAAACTGGAGGCACAACAGGCACGAGACCCCTCCGAAGGTCCAGTGCGTTCCTTCACACAAGGTGACGCTTTTCAAAGCGCTTTTGCTGAACACCGCCAGCCATGCCGTGAGCCTGCAGAGAATCTCCTGAGGGAGCTGCGCTCACCTTTCCTGGGGAGTTTGGGCTTTTTCTGCCTGGTTCACCCTGCCGTCAGCAAGCCCTGTCACCCCGGGAAGGGGAATGGCCACTCCCCAGGGCAGCAGCGGCCACCCCCGGGGTCCCTCCTCGGGCCAGCACTCACTTCTCCCCTTCCCCTCAGAGGAGGGCACAGCTGGGGATATCAGAATGAAAACAATCGAGTTGTGAGCATGTCAAGATAAATAAGGGTGTTTCTTCTTAGAAGGAAAAAGCACTCTGCTAGGAAGGGCTGGAAAATAAATACCTGCAAAAGTTTAAATGCTGCAACTTAAAAAACTCCAACAAAATACAGGAAGAACCAAAGTTTAGCCAAAGGGACAGGTGAAGATTCATAACCCAGCCTTGGTGAGGTTCCTGCTACAGGACTTCTGTTCCTTCTGGAGGCAGGAACAGGAACAGAGGACATGGCAACAGGGTAGGAGGGGCTGTGTCCTCTTATTAACTCTCCCCCCAGCAAACCGCCAGCTCTCGTGGGACGGCCTTCCCCCCTCTAACCACGCAGAGAAGTCGTGCACAGCAGGTCTGCCTGCCTCCGAGGTGGAGAACAGAGGTGGGGATCCAGACCCCTGTCCTACCAGACCCCTCCCGAAAAAGAGACTGAAGAAAGGAGTTTGGTGGCAAACGAAGCATCACGGGGTGAAGGAGCTCCCAGTGAAAGGCGTCGGACCACAAGCCGTGAGCTGCGACGCTGCGGTGATGTTCAACGCCATGGCTTTCCTCAGGGTTCCCCTCTTGGGTCTCTGCTGCGGGCAGCGTGGTGCGAGGGACGCCGCAGCAGAGCCCTTGCCGGCTGCGGTTCTGCAACAGCATGTCAAACACGCAGTTTTCACTCCCGCTACGATCAGTACGTTTGTTTCTAAGCACTGGTTTGCCTCTGCCTTCTCTCAAAGCAACGCTGGTTCTGGATGGCAAGCTTGCATTGAGCCGGGGGGACAGTGCTCGCCCCTGCTAACGAAGCTCGTTAAGGTTCTGGTTGTGAAGGTTTTGCTGCTGCCTGTTCAGGTTGATGGTGTTGTCCAGCGTGATGGTGTCGTCCTCCTGCGTGGTTTCCGGCATGAACTGCCGGAATATGCTGACGCTGCCATGCCAGAAGATGGGCTCGGGCAGTCTGCCCACCACGCTCCACGTGCGCGTCTCGGGGTCGTAGGCTTCCAGGACGTCCGAGAGTTCAAACGTGTTATCGTAGCCGCCGGAGACGTAGAGCTTCCCGCCGAGCACGGCCACACTCCCCCCAACGTGAACCTACAATTTAAAAGCAAACAGACACAATGAGAAAGGCGGGTTTTGCTGGTCAGGCAGATACTAAAGGTATTGGTCCTGGCTTGGACGGGGCTCAGCCCCCACCAGCTGCGATAGGTGAGCACAATACGTTTGAGCGCACTCTGTGTGCAAGGGGCTATGATATAAAGAGTGCCTTGTGTCCCACAGGAAAATTAAGACACTTTTTAACACTGGTTAAGCATCCAGTTCATCAGTAACGGTCCTACCTGAAGCATGGCAGGGATTTTATCCCATTCATTCTTTGCTGGATTGTAAACATCCACTTCAGCCGAGTCGTCTCTGTGGGAGAAAACACAAGATGACTCCTCTGCCTTCTAAAACCCTCCCACCTTGCGAAGCTCCAGTTCAGCAGCCCAAAATGCTCTGTGAGCCCTTCTGCTCCAATCCCGCTGTGTGTATTGGAGACCAAAGGGTTCCTGTGCAAGGCAGGGTCTCGACGCAGCCCCCAGCCTTCAGCATGGGCTCCTCCCGCGCCAGCAGCGACCCTCGACTCCAGGAACTGCCCGCACCTCTCTGCTGCACCCCTGCCCGCGACCAGGTTGGCGCGGACATTGCGCACTGCCACATGTGGGTGCAGGAGCGTTTCGTTCCCAAGGGCTTTCCCAAATCTTTTTTTTGTCTGTGTCTCTGGGAGGTGTGTTCACAGACTCCCTTTCTGCACGTCTGCATTTCACAGCCCCACCTGGTGCCAGCTGCTTCAGGGTCTGGGAAGAAAAATTACTGATGCTGTGCAGGGGCTTAAACCTCGTCCACCGCGAAGTAACGGCATCCCCACTGCTCGAGGGTTTTGCTGACACCAAATTTAGATGGGCTGGAGGCCTGAGTGCTGGTGGGGCAGTGTAATCCCCTGAGGCTCCTCAACCGCCCCACTTGGGAGGGTGACAGCGACAGGTGAGGGATGTTTGCGGTGCAGGAACGCGCGCGGCTGGCGTGAGAACGCGAAGAGGACGAGGTCAGGGCGGCGGCGAAGTGCTGGCCGTCACTCCAAGACAGCTGCGCTACGGGCGGATTCCAAAGGCTGCGAGGAGTATTTCACAGTCTTTGTGCCTGTCGTGACATGGCCACACACCGTGCGGGGGACGAGGTATCGCTACCGACTGCTGGCGTGAATCTGAGCTGCGGAGGGAGTGAAAATAAAGGTGTGCCATGTTCGAAGCTAAAAAACTCCTCGTACTAGAGGGGGTCAGGAGCTTTCACCTGAGCCACTAGCACTAACCAAAAAATGAGTCTGTGACTTTTGTTCATAACCTGCTGCTCTGTCCTCCAGAGATCATCTCACAGCAGAGCCGCAGCCCACGTGCCGCATGTGAACAAGGGGAGAGAACCTGACCCCGATAATCCCATTAACTCCTGCAGATGCGTAAGTGACCAGAAATCCTGAAGTGTCAATCATCAGTAGTTTAAAATGGATAAGGAAAAGGAAAACCTAGAGAATCGGCTTTTGACAAGAGCCGAGGAGCCAGAAAAGCCCTGCCGGCGTTTACTGAAAACCAGGTGACTCCAGCGGCTCTCTGCAAACAGCTGCCAGGAGCCAAGACACTGGCTGAACCCAAGTGACTCAAATAAAAGGGCTTCAGCAGAAGCTGCTGCTTTATGCAAAGCCAAGAGGAGATTAAAAAAAAAAAACAAGCGTCTGGAGGCCGTCACAGCAGTCTATGTTTGCTCTAAGTCAACACAACAAGCTGAAATGCTTCGGTGCTAGCATGCCTTTCCGTTTATTTTTAATTAAGTGGATAACCGAAGTATTTGCAGTATTTGCGCCACCAGGACGGCTTCAGATGGGTAATTAAGTCCCAATTTGGAAAGGCACTTAAAAATAGTGACCAATCATTCTATCTTCAGTCCTCTTATCTCTGCTGAGACAGAGGATCTCCTCTCCTGCGCCAGTTTAACGTTTTCTTGGCGCTTACTTGCTTATTTATAGCAACAAGGGGGGTGACCCAGAAGCCAAGAAAACCGAGAGGGCTGTTTCCAAGTGGCACTGCTGACTTCAGCCAGATTTATACCTGGCTGTCCCCCAGCCTGTGGCTTCAGATTCAGACATTTTTACATAATTGTACATGTAGTTCTGTGAGGTCTGGCTAGGACAGAAGGACAGGGAAAAGGCGTTTACAGACCCAGGGCACCGTCAGAGGAAACACCGCCGTGCGGTCCCAGCGCAGCTCTCTCCCACGACCACCCGCAAAACCCACACGCCTTCCCTGGGAGACCCTGGTCCCACCGGGGGAGGGCGGCGATCGCTCCCACTCCTCACCTTATGAAGTACATGAGGCCGTTGAGAGTGACGGTCTTTGGGGCGAAGGACCAGGGGGGCAGGTGGCCGCAGTTCACCAGGGACCAGAGGTCGCTGTCGGGGTCGTAGCACTGCATGACCATGGACTCCTTCCCAGCCAGCGAGCCGATGGCGAAGAGCTTGCCACGGCAGGAGGGGGTGCATGGGGTAGAGCATGGGCTGCAGGGCCTCCCAGCTGTCCACCGTGTGGTCATAGCGCTCCGTGCTGTCGGAGGCGATCACGTAGAGCAGCCCGTCCAGCACCGTGGAGCTGTGGTACTCTCTGGCCTTCAGCATGGGCGACACCTCCGTCCACTCGTTCACGCTGGAGTTGTACCTCCAGACGCAGTCGTAGAGCCGCGACCCGTCCGATCCCCCTGCGGCACAGCACAGCACAGCGCGGCTCAGAGCGTGGCTCCGCAGAGGGAAGAACCACGGGGCAACGGAGGAGAGGGCTCAGCTCAGGACCAAGATCTCTGTTGTGTTTTCCAGCTACATCTTCCCAACACTCCCACATGCTTTTCTGCTTCCCAGGGCCGTACGTTATGAAAATATTTCAGGGCTGGGGGACCACAGTGGTGGGCACTGTGAGGATTTTTACTCAAGTTCTGCACCGTTTCTCTCCCAGCAAGCCAGGAAGGATTTCTCCCATGCCATTCCAACTCAAGCCACACTCAAAACTCCCTCCATTCTTCTAAATAACCATTTTCTCTCCCATTCTGCCACCCCTGCTCTGTTGCTGTCCAGAAGCTGCTGAGACGAGCGCTCCCCAGGCAGTGTTACCGCCAGCAGCACGGAGCCCTCCAGCCCTCCCCATCCCCACGCTGTGACGCTGACACTGAGCAGAACCACCCCAGATCCCCGCCAGCAGCAGCCCCGCCGCAGCACGGGGCTCTGGGTGGTATCAGTGCCCCTGCACCCGCCTGGGATCGCCCCGGAAGCTCCCACGCGATATAAGGGCGACCGTACAAACGAGCTGCTGGTGGCCCATCACTTTCACAACCCTGCCCTTTGAAGCAGAGCCTTGTTTTCTGCTCGCTGACTCAAGAACTAACACTTTTCTGTTCACCTGCACTTGACCTGCCCTTCACACCTTTGCCAGCGCGTCCTGCACGCCCAGCGCGGGCTGTCCTGCTGCGCCTGGCTTCCCAGGGCCTGGGTCCGAACAGCTGCCGCAGGGATGAAAAGGAGGCATCTCCATGCAGATTAACAGCCAAATTTACACCTCTGTGTCACCTTGACAGAGTAATTATAGCCCCAGCGGACGGCGAGGAGGCAGGATTGGTGCTGGGGAAGGTGCTGTGACTCAGAGGCACTGGCTGAGGAACCCGGGGCTCTCTGACCCGCCCCCGCCTCCAGCACGCGCTTGGCTTGTGATTCACGGGGCTCTGAACCCTGCACCTTCTTCACAGCCAGAAATTCAAAAACCTCTCGAGTCACTCCTGTCCCCCAGAGCAAACGGTTAAGAAAGTTCCACCAGTGCAAGATCTGTGACTCCTGCCCGCGTGCTCAGGAGCATTAGTCATGACAGAATACCTCCCAGACTGAGGCCAGCTGCTAAATCCAGCACCGGCTCCAGGAGCCCCTGTGCCTGCCTTCGGGTGCACTCGTCCCCAGCCCCAGCAGAGCTTCAGACTCTGCTACCCCGAGAAATGCCGAGTCTCGCTGACAGAACCCACGCGTCTACTTTTCCCCTCCATGTGTCTTACCGGTGACGTAGATGTCGTTGCCCAGCGCAGCGACGCTGTAGCCCCCGCCCAGGTGCTCGGGGAACTCGGCCAGGTAGCGCCAGTGGCCGGTGCGTGGGTTGTAGCAGT